GCTCCTGTAACTGCCGAGACCCAGCTCGCGCCCGGATCCAGCTGAGAGCTGCGCCGTGACGTCCTGTGTAGCGGCCTGACGCAGAGCTCAGCTGCCTGCTCTGGGGGCTTTGCTGTCCTCTGTGCTGGCTTCTGTCATTGCTGAGTTCCATGCTGCTGGGCTTGAAAGCAGCTGGGAGGTGACCCAGAAGCCTCCCAGGCCCAAGGCCCCAGGTACAAAGGACCAGGCCCCCCGGGCATCGTTGGAGGCTGAAGAAGCCGAAGGACCACGTGGCGGGTGCCCGCACACCGCCTCCAGCAGAGCGGACATCTCATCGTCATCTAATGTGTCCACGCCTTTACACAAGTGGCAGGATCCCACGGGGCGGGGGCAGCAGGTTACAAAGCGCATCATGGGTTCGGGGACCAAATTCCCATCCCAAGCAAAGGGGCCTCCAGCCAGTTTCCCATCAGCCCCAGGGCATGGGAATGAGTGCTCTGAACTTGGAGCTGGCCCCTCACTGGGCTCTGCCAGGCCAGCTGTGTGGTCCAGGATGACCCACCTGCCCCTCTGAGGGGCTCGCCTGCGGCCTTCACAGGGGAAGGGGCCGCTTTCAGAGGCTGGATCAGCACACACAGGACGTGCAAAGTGCGGCACATGGCGGGCACGGCCTGGGCCCCAGGGGGTGGCTTTACCAGGAGAGCTCAGGGCTGGGGGCTCCAGGCAGCAGCAACTCGAATTCCCCACCCTGCAAGGTCGGTGTGCTTGGCCCCCCGCCCCGGGAGGCACGTACCACGGGGCGGAGGGCTGGGTGAAGGAGCAGCTGTCACCGTATGTCTGTCAGGGATCACCGTCCTTGTTTTAAGCCAAGCGCACACAGTCACCAATCCTGGTGGGGACGGGACAGGCCTCGAGCTCCGCCAGCTCCTGCCACATCTCCGCTCTGCTTCTGCCTGGCCACAGGGCTCCTGGGACCTGGGCTCTCAGAAAGGTCAGCTGGGGAGGAGGACACAGCGGGCGGGAGGCTGTGGGTGTCGCACACCGGCGAAGAAGACCCCGCACTGAGGGGGGGGGGCGGGGTTCTGTCCCTTTGACGCTGGCTGTACTTGGTGGCTCCCGCTCACACTGCTCTGCCAGGGAGTGTGTTGGTATTGTTGGGGTTCAGCTTCTGTACGCACAACATGAAGGGGCAGGGACACAGGGTCCCCGGAACCACTATGAGATTTTTTAATTCAACTTTTTAATTTTAGGTTAACTGTAGGTCCATGCAGTTTTCGGGAATAAAATGCGGAGCTCCCATGCCCCCTTTGTCACCCAGCTTCCCCAATGGTCACACAACGACATGGACTCGAGGCGCAGGGCACTTCGAGGACCCCTCACGTCACCTTTCGCAGCGGTGAACACTCCGCGCCTGCCCCTGCCTGTCAACCCCCGGCCGCCACCCGCCTGCTGTCCACTGCGCCCCTTCCCGCTTCCGAGAATGCCACCACGTACACGTGTCACGCGCACGTGACCTTTCGAGCCTGGCGCCTCGCACGCAGTCGGCGGTTCCCCCGGGCTGATGCTGCGGGCAGCGGGCTCCTTAGCGCGGACGGACTGCAGCCGGGTCGGCCATCTCCCTGTAGAAGGACATCTGGGCCCGTCCAGTTTGGGGATCTGAGGAAGGATGCTGCTGGAGTGCGTGTGCCCAGGGGTTTGCGTGACTTGCTCTGGGACAAGCACCCAGGGGTGCAGTTGGTGGGTCATACGATAGCTAATGTTCAGTTTTTTAAGAAGCGGCCAAACTGTTTTGCAGAGGAGCTGCGCCGTTTCCACGTCCCTGCATTCCAGCACTTTTAATTTTAACACCTGATCCGGAGCCACTGAATGTGCCTGAGCCCGAGTGTGGCTCAGATGGCAGACAGAAGCCAGGCAGCCCAGGGCCAAAGCAGAAGGGGCGACTGCACGGCCGCTCTGCTGTTTCGGGGGGACCTGGTATGCCCTACCAAGCCAGGCCCGCCCATCCACCCTCCTTCACCAAGGGCAGCGGCAGCCCCTCCCCTGGGGCTGGCTGGACTGAGCACAGGTCTTTCAGAGTGGAAGGTGCTGCTTCGAGGGGAGACTTTTCTGGAGAAGTCGATCCAGGCTTCCCGGCCTCCGACAGACTCGCCAGCTTGGCTCACGAGCATAATTCTGCAGGTCGTCCACGGAAATAAACACCTTTTGGTGGCACGTCCACTGTGAAGCAACCCCCCACCTAAGATCCCTCCTCACTTCTTTACCCTAAAATGTCCTACAACCCCTGACTTCTCTTCTGCATGCGCCTCCCTCCACCAGGAGCTGGAGCTCTGGCGCTCGAAGGGACCAGGGACTGGCGCCCGGGCTGCCAGGAAGCAGGGCCTCCCGCCCAGAGGGGACCCGACACTGGGCTGAGCCTGGCCCGGGGCCCCTGACGGAGGCATGCTGCTGGGCTGGGGGAGAGCTGCGGCGACACAGGGCCCTGGTCCAGGCCTGGACACGCCCGCAGGACCCGCGCACCCCGCCTGGACCCGGGGGGCTCTGGGGCTGAAAGAGGCCGGGCCGAGCCTGGAGGAGGAGGGGCGGCAGCCTGGCCCGTCTGGTCTGTGGCCTGGTTCTCGGCTCGGTTCTGGCAGCCGCGAGGCACTCGGGGAATCTAGGTGCACGGGAAGAGCCTCCGTGTCTCCGGCGCGCCCAGGGCGCACCGACCCGCAGCTGCCGAAAGTGCGCGCGAGCAGGAGCTCTGCCCGGAGCTCGGAACTCCGGGGCCCGCGCTAGGAGCGAGGCGAGGCGCCCCGGGCGGGCGGGCAGGGGAGGCGGGGGCGCCCCCGCTCGTCGGACCACCCAGCGCGCCGCTCCCTCCTCCCTCCTCCCGCAGCCGGTCGGAGGGTCACCGAGAGCCCCGCTCCGCTCCCCTCCGCACTTAACCAGTGGCTGGGGCCTCCCCCGCACCGGGATTGGATGCCAGCGACTGGGTGGGGGCGGGCGGGGGGACCCCAGCAGCCCAGGTTCCCAGCTGGGGCAGAGAGCTCCCCGCAGTGCAGACGCTGCTGGTCCGCTCCCGCGAGGACTTCCGCACACACCGGCAGACTTGCGAGCCGGCGGGCGGCGTGGAGGAGGCGACAGCTGCGGTGGTGGCCCCTCGCGCCGCGATGTTCGACAGCTCGCAGTACCCCTACAACTGCTTCAATTACGACGCCGACGACTACCCGGCAGGCAGCTCCGACGAGGAAAAGCGGCTCACGCGGCCTGCGTACAGGTGACCTCGGGGGCGGCGAGGCTGCGGGACAGCGCCCTCCCTCCGCAGGCGGCTCGGATGGCCGGGACCTGCCTGGGACGAGGGAGGCTTTCTTCTCTCGCGCGGGGCTCAGAGAGGGGACACTTAGCTCCACACAGGTAGTTGGAGAAGGGGCTCTCGGCCTCCCTGAGGGGATCCCCGAAGGCGAGCGAGAGCTTCTGGGGTGCGGGATGAAGCCGAGAGCGGGGACTCCGGGGTCACTCACCCAAGCACCCCTTCGTGCTTCCTCGTCCAACACCAGTGGAGGGGACCCGAGTGCGGGAAGGGCTGGCGGGGGGACGTCCCGCAGGCGGCTCTGGGCGGCCCCCGCTCCGCGCAGCGCGGCCTGATGCGCCCTGTCCGCAGCTACATCGCGCTCATCGCCATGGCCATCCAGCACAGCCCCGCGGGCCGGGTGACCCTGTCTGGCATCTACGACTTCATCATGCGCAGGTTCCCCTACTACCGCGCCAACCAGCGCGCCTGGCAGAACTCCATCCGCCACAACCTGTCCCTCAACAGCTGCTTCGTCAAGGTGAGCGCCCCGCCCCCGCAAGCGGCCGCTGAGCGTCCTAGGCTCGGGACACCTGGGCCAAGTCGTCCCCGATGGGGGGAGGGGCGTCGCAGCGGCAGCCGCTGGGCGGTTTATTCTTAGCAAACGGGGCGATCTCCACCCACCCGAGGACAGGGCCCTGTCCCGAGCTCACCCCACGGCCTGAGTGAGCCCAGAGGCGGGGCGGGGGCACCCCGGGGGCGCCCCGGAGCCGGCCCCGCTGAGCCCCTGTCGCTCACGCAGGTGCCTCGAACCGAGGGCCACGAGAAGGGCAAGGGCCATTACTGGACGTTCGCGGGCGGCTGCGAGTCCCTGCTGGACCTCTTCGAGGACGGCAACTTC